ATTTGAGATTTGACAGTGTACGTGATATGATGACGGAGCTTGCTAATATGTGTCGATGAAGTATAGAATTTGTTGGGATGCATTTTGAGTGCTTGAAAAAAAAAAATTTGTTGGGATGCATTTTGAGTGCTTGAAAAAAAAAATATAGATAACAAAATAAAAAAAAATAAAAAAAAAACTTGAGAGTTCACAGGACAAATCGAATGGATTCTGCTCCTCTTACTAGTCAATTCATTTTGACAGGTAATGAGCATTGGGAAACTACTGTAGGAAACTTGGATGACCTCCAATGTTCACACCTACAGAATGTTGTCCTTTTGATTCAATCTTGTTCGGAAAAAGTTACTCTCCAAACAAAAAAAAAAAAGACATCGAGTACTTAATTTGCAGTTCATCTTGAGCGTGTATGAGTGTTGCATGGAGTTTTGATGGGAATGTTTGGTTTCATGTTGATTTTTGATAGGTGGTGGAACATTCGAGTAGTTTATATGCTCGGGAATTTGATTGTTTATTTGAGCCGCTCGATCTTCATTTTTGTCTTTCCCTTGTGGAAATTGCCTTTATTGCAACCCTAGAAGCCCTCTTGATTTGCACTTCATGATTTTTGATTGTTTTAGAGTATGAATAGACGATAAGCAAGCTTATGTTGATGCATGATGATCGACCAATTTGAGCGTTTCCACTTCATATTTATGAAAGAAACCGAGTGAGGCATATATGTTTGATATTCCCATGCTTGAGCGTCTGTGTTCTTAAAGCGTTGCATTCGAGTTGTAATTGAGGTATGTTATATTGGTCATTGGAAGTCTCCTCGGCTAAGTTGGTTAATTTGAGACTCGTCTTATTTTAAACTGTTATCCATGCTCGTTTGCTTGTTTTCTTTTCTTTTCGTGTCTTTTTGTTCGGGACGAACAAAAGTTTAAGTGTGGGGGAGTTGTTTGTCCCATTTTTGTTACGTTATTCGTGTCTATTTTCTCTTTCTTTTTCCCCATTTTGAGTCATTTAGATGGTTTTAGGATCATTTTGTCATTTATTATGTGTTTTGCGTTCATTTGAGTGTTGCGATGTTTTCCGTTTGTTTTCCGGTCTTTTTCTGTTCTCTTTTCATTTTTGGTGTGTAGTTTGAAGACCTCGGGAGAACAGGTTTTCGAGAATCTTGTGAGGAAGCTGACACCATTAGATAGAGGGGTTCGTTAGCGACACGTAGGAAAAAACGGAACTCAATTCTGAGTTAAAACAAACCCGAACGAGCAAAAATCGTAAGATGGTGCAGTGCAGATTTTGGTCTCCGCGGCCGCGACCCTTTCTTCGCCGCGGCCGCGGCGAAGAAAAGCTGCCAGGTCCCAAATTTCAGCAATGAAAATCCCGCGGCCGCGGAGGAGGAAGTCGCGGCCGCGGAGGTCGCGGCAGCAGGATTTTTATTTCGCGATTTTGATCAGTTTTGGGGGACGTTCCACTTAGGTTTTGAGTTGGCTCTCGTACTTTTTCACTCCAGAACTCAGTTTTCTCTTATCTTTCACTTGGAATTGATATTGGATTGTGAAAACACCAAGATTTGACTCGTGGATTTGGATTGTTCGTTGTTCTTTCGACATTGGATTCATATTTAATTGTAAGCTTTCTATTTCATTTTATCTGTGATGATGATGGCTTTGATTGATATTGATGTTGATGTTGAATTGATGATGAGTGGCTAAATTCATATGCTAGGGATAGGGGATTGATGTTTTGAAATCGTTTTTGATTGTGGGCATTCGTTGATTGTTCTTTCCATGCGAGTTAATCTTTTATTATGGTTCTTCAATTATCAGGCTTGAGTATTGATAATTGTTGAAGGGTGATACTTCAACTTACAATTGTTTCAATTGAATTTGATTTATTCGTGCTTGAAATTGGGAATCTAATTGATTAGTCGGTTAATCACCCTCTAGTCTACTTTAATCGACTCTCAGAACTGAAAGGGGAGGAGTCGGTCGAAATAGGCTCATATGAACTAGGCTTGTTCGTAACTGTATTGCCTAGGAGTTAAATGAATTGTTAATTTGCCGTTCTAGTTTGTTCTCTTGTTACGAAAAGTTATTGAGAATGAGTACTCAAACGTGTCGATTATTCAAATCACTTAGCTGAACAATCACCTGCCCATTAATTGCAATTCGAACCAAAACGGATCTCCCCGACTCCCTAGCTTCTCAAATCCTAATTGTTCTTCGTTACTTGCTTTCTTTATTGCTTAATTTAAATTTTCGCAGTAGTTGATAATTAAATCCAAATCAAACCATCTGAATTAGAATGTTTAGGAATTTTGTTTCCCTTTTTGTTTGAATAAACGTATAGAATATTCCGGCTAACCTTCCTCGTGAGACACGACCCGGTGTTCGAATCTTTAGATTCTACTCCGGAAAAATATTTACAACAAGGATCCAGCCGGCGGAGCAGTCCTGTGCTCACCGCCAGAGGGAGGGTGAAGCTGGCTATATGCTCAGCCGTGCTCCTAATCTCAAGAGAGAGAGGAGGGACCGACTCATCCCCTTTCGGGGGAGCGGTGACGGCACTGGCCCTCAAATCTTGAGAGCGGTCCGGACTAAATACACGCACGGTCAAAGGAGCAGCGTCGCGTGCCGTGTCATTGGATAAATGGATGGACTCACCCCTGATCGAGGCATACGGCCGTTCCATATCGTCGACAAGGAGGTCGTCATCGTCAAGGAGCGTGAGGTCAGTAATCCTAGGTGGGTCACTAGTGGAAGACGTGGCCTCATTCTCTGTCTGTGGGGAGAGAATAGCAAAATACGAGTGGTTGGCCTTGAAGGCCGACTGGAGGGTCTGTCTAGGAAGAAAGCCCGTGGACTTGGGCTTTGGCCCAACTATGGCCAACTGGTTATGCTGGTTAGGGTGAGCAACCTTCCCAGTTTGGGCAGTGGCGCCAATCACAACCTTGCCCTTATCCTTAGACCCCTTTGGGGTCTCGGCCGCACGGAGAGGGCTTTTTCCCTTTCCCTTGGGGTCCCTCCTGCCGGTGCCCTGGCTGAGCCGCACGATGGCGCTGCGGGAGAGTGGGCCGTGGCTTATTGCCACTAGTGTAGCAATCAACCGCAATATGACCCATATGGCTGCACAAGGTGCAGAACGTGGGGATCTTCTCATAGATCACCCGCTGAACAAGGGACTCCGAGCCCTGTTCAATCTCAATCTCATGGACGAGCTCAGCTCTCAGATCTATCTCGACGCAAAATCGCACCACGTTAGCCCTCGTCTGAAGGGCCGTCGGGGCGTCAATACGAATCGGCTGCCCAATACACTTAGCAAGTATAGTGATGTAGCACGGTCGTAAAGGTGGGGTAGGAGGTCGGGAAGACGACACCACACGGGGACAACCGGCGCCTCCGTCTTCGGGTTAAACCCGACATAATATTTGAACACCCTAGCTGGGCATCCACACAAATGAATCGAGGTCTTAAGCCAGACCTCGTTATAGTCCTCGGGGAGATGGAAAGACACTAGAAGGTGGTTGAAATTGTACCAATTAGATGACACTCTACCCTTAAAACCCAATTTGCCTAATCCAGCAGATATATCTCGAGGGGCAGGGATAGCATATGAAAACTTAAAGACCAGGGTGTTAGCTAGCTTACCTGCAAGAGCGACAGATTCGACTTTCGTGTATCGGGCCTTCACCTTGTTTCGCTCTGAGCGGATGATGGTTCCGCAAGCATGTTCGTATCCCCCATCAAAGGCGAAATCCTTCAGTGCTGGGTGCGGGGTGCTCGAGCCGCGATCTCTTTTACCCGTAATAGCTTCGCGGAAGGAGAGTGGGCCAGTGGAGGTGCCCGGAGGCGGCCCGTCTGTGGCAGTGTTGGCCGTGGAGGTGCCCGTCGGCGGTGCACCGTTCGTGGAAGGTCCGGAAGGATGAGCCGCGGGTAATTTGCTTGGGCCCTCAACAATTACCGTCTTCACGCACATACAAGGTGTCCGGAACGAGATTTCCAGCAGCGGAGGTGGGTTTTTCGGTGGGTTGCTCGGTCGGAGAGGGAGAGGTTGGCCGAGGGCCGAGGATTTCGGCTGAAATGTTCGAAATCGTGGCCATCCCGGGAGGAAGGCCGACTGACTATGCTATTCCGGTGGTCTTGCCAGAGCCGGCGCCGGCATCGGACATGCGGTCGGCGGTTGCCTGAGGGTAGGTGTATGCATTCTGATGGCAAGAGGAGGTGATAAGGTCGCTGTGGGTGTCGACGGGCTGAGGAAGATGACGGGTTGGGGAGCTGGGCTGGGATTGACGGGCTGAGGGGTGTTGAAGGGGGTTGGGCTGGTGTCCGCATTATAATGGGTGCACCGTATGGTTGTATGAATTGCACCTTAGTGACTATTATATTACAATATATAACGAAACCGCACGAACTAATTTTTTCGGTTCAAAATTTTAAATTTCGGTTCGATTGTTTTACATTACTTTAAAAAAGACTCGATTATCTCGTTTCGACGGTAGATTGTTTTTTTAATTACATAAGCGAAATAACGGAACGTCCAAATTGTATTAAAAATATTATTATTTTTTTTATATTTTATGCAATGTATTATCTATTTTCAAATATTAAATAAACAATATTAAAATATTAGTTACAGTTTAGTTAATTATAAATTTGACATATGAACTAAATTAGAATATATCAAAATATCAGAAATTGCAATAAAGTCCCTAGGACTTATCAAATTCACAAAATTAAATCCCCTTCATTCTAGATCTAATTATCAATGTCACTGCAATTCCAGATCTGATTTATTGTCACTGAACACGCACTGAACGCGCACACACATGCACTGAATACACACACACACACACACACACACACAGACACGCATAGTCCTCTCCACCGCCGCCGACCACCGTGATAGATGCGGAAGATCAACAAATCGCGACAGGTGCAGAGGAAGGGGGCCGCATCGGAGTAATCGGCGATGTCCGGCTGATGGCGGCGACGGGCTGAGACTTTGAGCGTGGCTAGTCACGGCGAACGGCGGACGGTGCTCATGGTGGTCTGGCGACGATACGACGGAGGTCGACGTGTATTTCGGGTGGTCGGGCGAGGGTTGGTAATGTGAAGGTAGAAAGACAGTGAGGTGGTGAGAGATGGCGGCAGAGTGCTGTAGCGGGCGGCGGAGGATATGCAGGTACAGGCGGAAAGCGGCTGCGCGGCGAAGCTCCGGTGGCCGTGAAACGGACTGGCAGAGGGCGGCTGCGCGGCGAAGCTCCGGTGGCCGGAATTTGGGCGTGAAATGGACTGCCGGAACACTGCGTGCGTGTGTGTGTAGTTTGTGTGTGTGTGTGTGCGTGTTCAGCGTGAGCGTGAAGGAGAAAGAGGAGTTGAGGAAAGAGAAAATGTGGGTGAAGATGTTTGGTGAGTGGGTCCCACATTATATATGTGTATTGACCAACTTATCCTTAATTATTGGTCAAATACACATATTTGACCACAAATGATCATATAATTACCAAATTGCCATTAATGATTGACCATTGTTTGACTTCATCATAACCATTGATATGGTTAATCCCATGGTCCACACTTATTCTTATTTCTTTCACTGAGAACCATTCTCATATGATCCTAACTCTATATATATATATATATATATGCTGATTCTTTTGGAAATGAAAACACAAAGAAAATGAAAGCAATAGAAAGATAGATAACATATATATTCGTAGGTATCTCGGCCTGAGACCGACCCCATTTATTGCAATGAGAAAATGTTACAAGACAACAAGCGAGATAACAATTAAGTAGCTAGGTAGATGGCAAGGTAACTCGAGTTGATGGAAAGAGAGACATTCAATCGATTTAAGCTTATGTAGTAATTAATTATATGGAGGCGGTGGTGAGGCCTTAGCCGGCGGCGGCTTATTTGGAGTAGATGGTCCATATGGAGTTGCAGGTGGAGTAGATGGTTTTGCAGGTGTTGGTGTAGATGGTTTTGCAGGTGGAGATGAAGATGGTGGAGTATTTGGAGCAGATGGAGTTGCAGGTGGAGTAGATGGTTTTGCAGGTGGAGATGAAGATGGCGGAGTATTTGGAGCAGATGGAGTTGTAGGTGGAGTAGTTGGTCCATATGGAGTTGCAGGTGTTGGTGTAGATGGTTTTGCAGGTGGAGATGAAGATGACGGAGTATTTGGAGGAGATGGAGTTGGTGGTCCGTATGGCGTGGTCTTAACTGGTGGAGCATATGGCTTAGATGGCGTAGATGGTTTTGCAGGTGTCGGTGTAGTAGGTGATGAAGTTGGAGGTGTCTGTGGAGTAGATGGTTTTGCAGGTGCCGGCGGTGGAGTAGATGGCTTAGGTGGTCCTCCGTATGGCTTAGATGGGGTCGGTGGAGTAGGTGATGAAGTTGGAGGTGTCTGTGGAGTAGATGATGAAGTTGGGGGTGTCGGTGGAGATGGTTTTGGTGTTGCGGGTGTACCATAACCGTCAAGTCTAATCGCAGTAGTGGCAGCTATCAAGCATAAACATGCCATCGCATNCTTCGCCCAGCAGCCGGGAAAAACCAGCACCAGACCCGTCGACCTTAGAGCTTTGAGCTTCGTCATCCCTTAAGGTCCGGTGGTTCTTTAGCTATCGGTTTCCGACCATACGATGTCGTCGTCGGTCGTTCTTACCAGTCCACAAAGCTGCCTGGCCATCTCGCACACCTTCTTGTTCAGCCGAAATGTTTTGTGGCAAAAAAATAAAATAAACCACCAGCTAGTAGCACCACCAGTCGTCCATCTTTCTTGTTTAGTAGCCTTCACGTCGGCCATCCTTGGTCCAACTTTCAGCCCGACGCCGTAAGCCCACGCAGCGCCCACGTTCAGCATCGTCACCGCTCTTGGTCAGTCCAAAATTTTACCAACCTCGTGTCGATTGCTTGGTTGTCGAGGACGCCACCAATGCAAACATTGGGGAGAAAAGGAAAACGGAAAAACATGATTTTTTCAAAAGATAATGAAGAGTTTGTTAGTCATGTGATTTATATGGATGTTATGATAAGATGGAATGTATACAAAAATAATATGTGTTGTTTCCTTTAAATATTTGGGTTTAAATTTATTCCAAAATTTTCAAAACACATTTAAGCGGGGTATTCCAAACTTATTCTAAAATAAAATTACTTCTTTTAGTAATTCTGAAATTTTAAGCGAGAAACTAAATATTTTTTTTTTATAATTTTTAGTTACTATTTCAAGTAAATATCATTGCCTCTTTATATATTAATAGATTACTATTTTTATGCTTTTTTCATTCATGAACCCATTTTTATTCAATTGATTGTATCATTTTTTTCAAGCTACTGACATTTGTATTTGTATCATATACTCTACATATACTAAAATAGTTTATCAAATAATGATTATGATCAGTTTATGATACGTATATGACATGTTATATACTGAACAATAATTAGAAAATCACAATTGTGGTTAGATTAAAATGCTATGTAAATAAATAATGCAACATATACTGATCAATATATTGATTATAAACAAAATATATTGAACCAAAATTTAAACATTATAGTTGGGTTAGATAAAAATGTTATGTAAATAAAAAACGCATTAGGTTATATACTGACTATAAACGCAGTATATATTGCCCATTCAAAACACCTGAGAGCTGAAAATCTCATAATCTTCGCAATTTAAGAGGAAGGCGGTTACACTTTATTTACTAACTAGAAATCCCATAATCTGGTGCATCTTTGTAATTAATTAGCACGGAATTGGTAAAGATGCAATCATGCAAATAAAGTTTGCTCCATGGTGAAATCCTATTTTTTTCTAAATCACGTGGTACACATGAAAATTCGCCGATTTAATTTGCCGAGAAACTACAATTGGGCTATGAGCCTGTGACTGTATATATGGCCCAGTTATTGTGGTTTGGGCCGCACTGTTTCTATTTTTTTTTAAATATTTTTTTTATATAAATAAATATTATTAATGGGAGATGCTACGGTTTTGTTACGGAACTATTCCGTCGGAGTTTGTAACTCTTAGATCAACTATCTCCAACGATTACATGATGATCTAACGGTTATAAATCCCGACGGAATAGTTCCGTAACGAGACTGTATCATTTTCCATTATTAATAGAAACAAATATTATCAATAAAGAATAACACAAACAAACACACAAAGAGCAACTAAAAAGAAATAAAAATGAAGTCGCCAAAAAGAAATTGTTCGAGGTGAAAAAGATTCCAAACGCCACTTGACGTTCCAGAAACTTCCAGCCGTTTCGTGGCTCAAATTGCAGAATTGGATAATCTCAACCGCACCATTTTCCAGCTCTCTCTTTCCGCCACGTGTCCCTCCCGAGCCACGTGAATCCCACCTGGCGCTCATACTGAGCTAGCAAATGATACGATGGCGCCCCACTCACAATCTAACCTCTAATCTACTTCATATTTACACTTTGACCCCTCCTTCCTCGATTAATTAATTTCAATCTGCTCACCGGAAATTTCTGTACCTTTCAGAGCACATATCAACAGATCGACGGAGATATGGGCGGAGCTGAGGCCAACGAAGAAAAGGAGAAGCAGGTTGAGGTCTTGATGTGTGGGTATTTCCCCGGAGTCACGTCGCAGCGACCACCGCTGTCCTCGCCGGCGATTGTGCGGCTGCCGGAGGCGGAGATGGATGGTGATTCGTGGAATGACGTATGCGCTGGCGGCTGCGGCTTCGGGATGGCTGTTTCCGGTATCATTTGTTAATTTATACCACGCTCTGTGTTTGTTCATTTGTCGAATCTGACTATTTTCTTCGATCTGCTAGTCGGAGACTTAATCGATCGCATTGAAAATTTGTGGCTGTGTCCTGTGATTTTCTAATTAGTTGAACATTTTTGTTTTCTAATTTCTTGCAGCTTCCGGTAAGCTTATTACATGGGGTTCGGCCGACGATCAGGGCCAGAGCTATCTGACCTCCGGGAAGCATGGGGTAAAGTTCCCACTAAGTTTCGTGGTCTTTCAGATAGTTTCAGGAAATTTTACTAACGATTTAGTATCTTTGCTGATTATGATGTACATAGGAGAACCCAGAAAAGTTTCATGTCCCAACAACAGATCGGATTGTAAAAGCTGCTGCTGGATGGGCACATTGTATCTCTGTTACCGGTATTGTTAGGCAACCGTTCTGTGATTATAACTTGGTAAATAGTAGATAGAGTGACTTTTTAGTGCCTTGTTTGATTGGTCTATGAGATACAGATAAAGGGCAAGTGTATAGTTGGGGATGGAAGGAGTGTGTTCCCTCTGGTAAAGTCACTCGTAACTGGAGTAACATAAAAAGTTGTGAAGAAGATGAAAATTGTGCAAAGCAAAGTTCAACAACAAACGAACAAGGTAATTTGTTCGGATGTATAACTATGATTCGGGTTCTGGCTGTGTTGGCTTAATTTAGTGGTGTCTATTTATGACAGATAGCCCACGATCACAGAGTCCGAAATCCACAGGACTAATCTCATTTCCAAATGACAAATTACCGGGCATTGAAGCTATGAAACGGAGAAAAGTTACTCCTCAGCAAGAATTAGATGCTTCAATACCTGCCGACGAAATTCTGTCTATGCCTCCTTGTCTTGTGGAGCTCGATTCTGGGGTAAAGATCACCTCAGTTGCTGCCGGGGGCCGGCATACTCTAGCATTGTCAGGTAAATTGTTGTGTTAAAATTCTGTTAGCACACACTGCACTTTTTTCCATTGTAGTCACTATAGTTGTACATTTTACGTTTCTAGGTGTTTTGCAGTATGAAGATATGGAAGCTTTTTAGTGTTAATCAAGAAGATCCTTTTTATATATACCAGAGCTGACGCTTTTACCGGATTTAGATGTGGGACAGGTTTGGGGTTGGGGCTATGGAGGTGAAGGCCAGCTCGGATTGGGTTCTAGAATAAAAACGGTGGCATCCCCTCATCTCATACCTTGTATTGAATCATCCACGAATGGACAAGAAAGCTCTGATGTTAGTCAACAAAGTCTTGCTTCTGAAGGTAAGAAGTTTATAGGTAACTACGTGAAGGGGATTGCATGTGGAGGCCGGCACAGTGTAGTGGTGACAGGTAACTATTGGGAAACTAATTAGGGGTTCGCAAAATTGCCGGCATTTTAAGAATTTTTTTTGAAGTTTCGTGGCTTTGCATTATCAGATGCTGGTGTGCTTCTTGCCTTCGGCTGGGGACTGTATGGACAGGTGGGTGTATTCTATGCATAGTCCTTTTGTTATTGTATTTGCCGTTTTAACGATTTGATTCTGGTAAATATTCCAGCTCATATTCTATGAACCTTGGTGTAAATTTATATGTAGTCCTACTCTGATATTTGTTGCCTGGAAAATTGTATGAATACCGTTGAATCATATATTAGAAGCTGTGTTGATCGTAGAATTGCCTTTTGAGTCAACACAATCTCAGGCCATTGTTTTATATGATCAAGGTAAATAAACCAGAAGAGTAGCAGGTTAGACTGTAAACGAGAAAAAGAAGAGGAAAAAAAAGGTTGCTCAGGAATGATCCCCCAGAAAATAGCAGCCAAAAGATATCAATTCTTCCATTTTCTACGAGTAACAACAATACTCATTTGTATAGATAACTATCAAAAACATATCCACTTTAAACAAATTACAAACATAATCAAATGGACTTAACAAAATTTATTTAATAAAACAAGGAAATAAGTGATAGAAGTGGAACACCTAAAATTTATGCTTATTACATTTGTTGTAGGTAGTGTTTTATAATTTTTTTTTCCTTATGCAGTGTGGACAAGGGAATACTGATGATTTGCTGAAGCCATATTGTGTTCCCTCACTAATGGGAACTCGAATTGAGGCAGTTGCAGCTGGTCTTTGGCATACAATTTGCATATGTGCTGATGGTCGTGTTCATGTTTTTGGAGGAAATCAGTTTGGGCAGTTGGGTTTGGGGACGAATTCGGACCAGTGTGAGGTAACTTTTGTTCTGTTTTTTTTCTTTGTTTTTAGCTGTTTTGGAAGTGGTTACTGTCTGTGCTTCTCTTCTCTTAGAAGTTGATCGGAATCGGTTATTATCAAGTTCACTGGTGTGAAGTGTTACGTTTGCAAAGGCAGTAAACAGGTATTGAGATTGTGTCATTTAAGAATATAGTCATTTGGCTGCTGGACTTGAAATTGGCTATGAAACATGTGCATGATGATGATATACATGAAAATCAAAAGTGGGNGCCTATGTAGGAAAATAGGTACAAGTCTGAATTGCCATCTTTATTGTGGAAGGATTTGCTACAAAAAAATGTGATCCAACTGTAACTGAAATTAATATTATATAAGAAAAGAGTTGATCTGGTTTGCAGTAGTTTTGTCCAAATAGCAGTCCTGGACACAACCAAAAAAAAAATGCTACTGAAAATTATATTGTTTTTTCATAAGAAAATTACAGTTTTCACTGTTTACACTTTACAGCTATTGATCAATGGGAATTGATTTTCATCTTCAATGTTGTTCGTGGCCATATTTCATCTAGCAACTGTGCAGCACTTGAGCAAAGTATCTAACTTTGGAACATTGTGCTGCAGCTTGTCCCCAGGCTTGTTAATGAACCGATCCTTGATGGAAAGAAAGCCAAGGTGGTGTCCTGTGGGGCCCGCCACAGCGCTATACTGACAGGTAAACCTTCTGTTGTGGTTTTGGAGATATCTTTCTAACTTTAGGTTAATGCTTTAGTGTCGAGATATATATATACCGGGTGATTATCATTGCCTTGGCTTGGTGCTTTTGATGGTGCTATCTGTATAAAAAGTAATAACAATAAAAAAGAGGAACCATTAGTTTTTATACCGTTGATTTTGGTTTCAATGCTAAAAAAATATCAACCCCGAACAAAATCTATAAAAACAAAATTATTATAGTTTCGTAATATCTAAACTCCACCACGAGTATTGAAACCAAGTCAGGGCTGCTTGCTATTGTGTTTTGTTGATTAAAATTACATTTGAAAACCGAGTCTGATTTTGCAGCTGGATTTTATATTTATTTATTTTGACATATAAAGCAGATGATGGTGAAATATTCAGCTGGGGATGGAACAAATACGGTCAGGTGAAAAAAAAAACTCAGAATAAAATAGACCATCCTATTAGAACTTTGTTTTCTTGTCAATGTTTCTTGATGAAACTAGTTTGTATTTCAGCTCGGTTTAGGTGATACAGCCGATGTCAACGTGCCTGGAAAGGTTCTACTGAAAGATTACACTCCCAAGAACATAGCCTGTGGCTGGTGGCACACACTTTTGCTGTGTGAGAGAGTTCCATCTACTTNTCCATCTACTTAGTTTAAATGCTCCTTTTGATGTTGGTTATACTGAACTTCTTAACTTTCAACCATTTTAAGGTGCAGTTGTGTTAAATATTTATCTAGCAGTACAGTTGCACATTTATTTCTGTGTTTTTTTTTTTCCTACTGATTAGATGTTTATTCTGTACATTTATTGGTGTCTAATGAACTTCAGTTTAAGCTGGGTCCTCATTATGCAGTAAAGAGATAGAGTTGAATTTTATACCCGAGTAATTGTAATTAGGCCGTCTCTTTTGTACTTCAACAATTTATCAGAAACAACAGAATTTTATTCAGAGGCTACCTAATAGGTCATGGTATTCAGTGTTCTGCATCAATGGGATTACGTAATAACAAATATACTAATAATAGTCTAAAATTCATATCACATTTGGTGAACGAGCACATTTCTTACATGTAATAACACGAAAAAACATTTCTTACATGTAATAACACGAAAAAACATTGACACTAGCAGCAATCACATGTGTTTGTCAACACTGGTGTTGTTTTCTTCTTTTTCCATATCACAAGAAGTATAATCCTAGAGATATCTGAAAATCGTATTAGAATGGCAAGTTTTCATTCCACCCAATCCTTACTGATCTGCAGATCTTGGCAGCCTCCCTTTGCCTAGATATTCAGCAGCTGGCTGGAAGAAAGTCACACAACAGCGTTATTTGATTATCTTCATAAACTTCATAAATACTCGAAGCAAAAGGGCATTCATAAACAACACTCTTGAAGCATATAGACCATACAGGCAAAGTAATATAAGATGGCTAACTTTCAATTTTCGAGAAAACATGTTCCACAAAAGATTGATATAAATAAATAAAGCGTTGAGAAATATCAGGTGTGTCCACAACATCAAATAAGTTCAAAATTAGTGATTCGGCGAAAGTTTGAGAAGAAATGCAGGGTCCAGTTAATAAGAGAATTTGGATATCAATGACCAATAGATTATAATTCAAATGACACCATTTTACTTTCTGGACGCTCTGTAGTCGGAAGATCTGAGAAGACTGCTACCTTAGTCTATTTAATATACCACGCCAAAAAATATAAATCTATTATCTCTCCAAAACAAATCGATTTCTCTGTTTGCCAGTAGCCCACCAATCATGCACATTAATCCAAGAAAGAGAAACTGAACTACTCAAATACACCCCATCCTAAATCATGACAGGTTTCAAAGCAAACTCGATTACATCCAGGAAAAGCATACCAATGAAAATGAGATGGACCTAAAAGTTTTGCTACATTTATTTATGGTGACGAAAAATAATTCAGTCATTCAAGAAAATAATTGCACGGTACTCAGACATAAGGTAGACAATACAGAAAACTTGTATAAGTAACGATCTTCAGTAAAAGCCTCAAATTCCATATGGGTATAGTGGCAAGCCAACTGGCAACATTATAACCCACCCTGACAATTATTCAGCAGCACCGTGAGAAGTACACTACCTACAGAAGGTAATGCAACCAAAAAGGGTGAAAGATGAAGACAATCTGGCCCCAGCTAAAACTAAAGAACCGCATATAAATGGAAATGATGAAGTGATATGGTTTATCAATAATAAGTGGATATATGTTGAATTACCTGTCATGTGTTCTGCCACAAAGAAGCTACAGTTCACTATAATTACGCCAAACGGCACGGAATTCTTCACGGAATGTGTTCAGGCGAGCTTTCAAGTTGGGTGTTCTAAAGCTTGCATGGATGAGAGTGGCTGTGGCAGAAAACGCAAGTTAGAGCCAAAAAGCCAATAAATTTAGAAAGCAAATAAGCATAAGAAAATGAAATTTTGAGTTACCAAAAAGTCCAATAGCAAAGGCCCATAAGACCATGAGAATACCACATGAAGCAAACCAGAGGAAGAAACTCACTGCAAGGCGGAATAAGAAGGCATAGTTATTAACATGTGACAGTACATCCTCCAAGCCCAAATACGAAGTATTCAAATATGTTAAGAGAAAATATCTCTTACTTGCAGAAAATACCAAGACGAATACCCATCGAGGTTGTCCACATATATGTATAGCTCGTTTTGCAGATGGGCGCCCTCGAATAACAGGTCTAAAATTACACACCCATGTAAGAGCCAGAAACAGATGATAAGCAAATTTAGTAGCAACTATGCTTACGTGAGAGGAGGTCTCATCTTTGCTGCCAAATGAGGAGAAAGCTGTCTGACAGTCCTTGTGACCTTTTCACTGAAAGTCCCTGCAAAACTACAAGAACAAAGATTGACGATATTAGAAAGATAACAGGACAGTGACGAAAAACAGAAGACTAATGGTTCAAGATTATTCAAGAAATGATCAGCCATCCATCATAACAAAACCAGCTTCATCCCATAAAAGTATTAGGAAGGCAAACAACACACTACACTCGTGATTCCAGATTTTCCAGTTCTTCTACTTTCATCATATGANTTAAAGCCAGTCCACATTAATAATTTATTCAAAAGAGCATACCTATCGTTCAGAAATGCAATACTCAAAGCTGTCGTAAAAGCAGCAACAATAGCAAGCGGCTTCCTCAAAAATCCCATTCCTAAAAGCCACACACACACATATCGACACAATAATTAGCAGTTGTGTTCAAAATAAGCAATCAGAAATGGCAAGTGCATCTTCATCATCACTCTCTCTTACCAAGAATGAAAACAATCATCAAGAAATAGTTGGTGCGGTAGCTGCAGAAGGCCAAAAAACAATGATTAATGGCAAATACTACAGAAACTAGAAAGTCACTGCACACACTGCCCCAATCACACTAGGAATCAGAAAAACTTTTATCCATAGATCGCCAAAACCATACATAATTTCCCTGACTAAAACGCAATAGCTTATTCAATATCATTTCCAAGCCATCAAACCAAAACTGGAAAGGGTAATCCATTGTTCTTCACACCATACACATGCACGGAGTTAAGCGCGCTAAAATGAAGAAAAGGGAAAAACGTACTAATAGAGGTTGCACTTGAGGCGGCTGTTCCATTTGGCGTACGAGCGGGGCACGGTGAACCGAGAGAAGAATTCCGACACGGGGCGTGGCGGCGAAGACCAGTCCACTTCGCGCAGGGCCTCCACCAGATCCTCCGCAGTCACGTTGCTCCAATCCATGAACGATTGCGAGAAAACCCTAGGAATATGAACCAAAACAAAAGGGAAAGTGATACTAATACAAGAAGCGAAACGAAATCGAAGAAGGTATATTCCAGCGAGTTTTTTTCGATATTCGGGGAGAATTTGAATTTGATCGGAACGATTGAGACGATGAAGCACAGGAGTGAGAGAGAAAATGGAAAATGGAGATGAAACGAGAGTTAAAAAAGGGTTGTGAAAAACAAAAAACAAAAATTGAAAATTGAAGAGTTATTTGTCTGAGCCCGGGTTCGAACCGGGGACCTCTAGTGTGTGAGACTAGCGTGATAACCGACTACACCACCCAGACAATTTATGATGAAATACGTAATGAAAAATCCAATTACATTACACAAATGTACCAAGCTTCCGCTGTATCTATATCTATATATATATATATAAAGAGGTTGTTGGAAAAATACATTAATAGAAATTTTGACCAAATAAATATAATGTTTGACTTACTAATAATGGGAACTTAAAAAAAACACATGTGAATCTTAAGTAACAAAATCTAAATCATATTTTTTTGCTAACAAATTTGGAGATTTTTATGGAAAAATTTGAATCCCATTTTTTTTCGTATCATATTTTATTTTTTACCAAAATTTAAATCATATTTTTTTGTAACAAATTTAGAGATTCTTATGCAAAAAAATATGTCAATTATTTATAAAAACAATTTTAAATACAAATTAATTTAAAAACCGTGCAAACTGGATACAAATTTTGGAAGCAAATAGTTGTATAATTCTTAATCAATTCTTCCAATCTTATTAAATAATTTTTTCTTTCAAAAAAATTGTGTAAATTAGATAAAGCCACATGCAATTTTTATTTTAAAATAGAACTGATATTTGGACGGGATGTACATTCAAAATTGTGTCCACATTTTTTGTAACAAAAGCGGTTCATCATTGATATTTAAAGTCACCTTATCCAATTATTTAGAAAAAATTGTGTGCAACTTTTCAAAATTTAAATACATCGATTTTTTTGGATTCTTTTTTTCTTAACCATGTTTTACCGAGATTTTGGTAAGTTTATATCATTTTTTTTTCTTGGTTAAGTTCATATCATTTTCTTTAGGAAAGAGATAGTATCATAAACATTAACAATTTATTTCAATTTGTTATTATAATTATTTTCAATTCAATTTGTTTGATACAAAAATTGATGCAATGTTAGCAAAAATCAGTTGCATTTATAAGAAAAATTGATGATTTTTTTTATTTGGTTTAAAAAAAAAATTCGGATCAATATGTTTTATAAAAAAATCGGTTTATTGATAGGAAAATCGGTTTCATTTCCAGGAGTAACTAATGATTCTTTTCAATTTTTCTTAATTGACATTGAGAATTAGATTTAAAATAAATAATGGGTGAAAATCTCTAAAAAATTCTACTTTTTTTTTCTACTTTAATTTTGTTTAATAAATAAGATCCTTTAATTTTTTTAAAATTTGTTAACTAATAACTAATAATATGCAATTTTGGATAAATTCGAACATCTATGTAGTACTTTACGTGTCAAAGAATCAAATCAATAATATTGTACATAAGGAAGTATTTAATAACATATAAATTTCGTTTTCATGAGATTTTTAATGGCATGAAACAATTTAAATACAAAAATACCTTTTAAAAAAATAAATGGATAATCGGGATTCGTACTAGTTATACTAAATCTGCACGTTTCCCCCCTCTAATTTAAAAATTGCGTCATACCCCCTTCTATTAAGGTTTCAGGTGCACACGCTCCCTTGTCTGTATTTCTCCGTTAACGGCGTTAGTTTTTTTTTAACAGTCCTGTTATACCCTCTGAATATTATATATATATATATATATATATATATATATATTTACGATATATTGATTTATCACGATATATTGAATATATCGCGAGAAATTGAATTAAAAAAAATCACAGACCTTAGGATTCAAACCTGGTACCTCATGGGAGCAAGACAAGCAATGCAACCACTACACCACTCAAGGTTGAGTGTTAGGACTAAGAATGTTTGATATATATGGACATTGTTATGGATAAGTGAAATTAAATTTAGAATATAATATAAATTATATTAAATTAAATTATTAAAATATAAAGTTATGATAATTCAAATATAATAAACTAAATTATATAAAATTAAACGAAAAAAAATTTAAATTACTTATTATGTTAAACGAAAAAAAAATAATTAAAATAAAATATTAATAAATATAAAAAAATTGTAGTTAAATAATAAATAATATTATAATTAAGTAAATATATGTTATAATACAAATAATACAATAATTTTTTGTGTAAATAATATAATGATTAATTAATTATAATTTAATAACTATATACTAAATTATAAATAATATAATAAATGAATAAAATATATTCTAAAGTATAACGATAAATATAAATTACAAATTATAATAATTCAGTATATATATTTTATAATAATTGAATAATTAGATTCTAAATTATAAATAATATAATAATTAAGTAAATATATTCTATATCATTAATAATCTAATAATTAAGTAAAT